GGGGGGGGGGACGGTTGCGGTTTTATTTTGTGTTGTTTGTTTGGTATTTTTAAACCTGAAGGAGTGAGTTCTGTGAATTGCTTGGGCTTCTCAAGAGCAGCCAGACCAGTTACAAGGCACTCAGAGTTCAAGTCAGTGCTGCAACTGCAGCTACTTAGAAAGTGACAGAATTTTTATTTATATTAAACATCAGTAAGAAACCATAGACGCTGTGCCATAAATCACCTACCCTGCAGACCTCTGAGACTGATTTACACCCGTCTCTGGTAAGCCAGCCCTCTTTTCCACTGTGGGGTTTTTTTTAATCCTCTTCACACTAAATGCTTATTGGCTAACATGTTCTTGGAGTAGAAACTTGCTCACCCTTGTCTCCCTATAGTTGTCTCATGGCTTCACTATGACAAGTGCTAAACCTGTCTGTCTCCAGGCACATCTCAGGCCAGTGRATTTTGTATTTGCTGTGTGGTTGGATATAAGAGATGGGAGAGTGGGAGAGGCTGTTCTGCAGGAGGGAACTGACACTATGTGTGAAAAGTCCCTCTTAAGTGGTAAATGCACTACATTTACAAAAACCACTCTCTGTTCTAATAATTTTTGTTTTGGGTTTGGGTTTTGTTTTTTTTTTTTTGGTGGGAATGGGAAAGTTCTGATGTGCATTTGGGACTTTTGGATCTCAGAGATTCAGAACCACTATCCATTACAAGTCTGAGTGAGTGCAGAGGATTTCAGAGTGATTTCCCCCATCCTGTTGTTTGTTCAGAAGATGGTGGTGGATGGTGATTACATGCTGAGCGTCACTGCATTTGSTCGTGCAGATGGAGCTCCTCTGAGCTCCTCCATTCAGCCTTTCACTGAATGTCTGGCTCTGAAATGTAAACTGTCTCTCTTCCCTGAAAGCCCYGCAGCAGATTGGAGATGCTTCCCACTGGACCCACAGTCCTGATTAAATTTAGAGGCTCATCCTCAACAGCCCTGTGTTAAGGAACCTTTCCTGTCTGACCATCCAGGAGCCACTCTGGCACTCACACTCCCACCCCCTGAGCTGTGGGAAACCCAGGATGGAGCTGGTAAAGAAATCCTGTCTGACTCTGTGAGCCTGCAGGGAGCCAAGAGAGGCACCTGTGGGGTCACTGGAGCTGCTCACAGGGAAGGGACTTCAGTCCCAGCAGTGAATGCCTGCAGTGGGGGGAGTGTGACTGCCWGAGCGGCTTCTGCATGGCCAGACAGGGAAGTTTCCTTAACATTTTCAGGCAGAAGTAGCTGCCACCATCTAGTCATTCCCCTGTTAAAGTGTCCAGTAGTGTTTAATAGTCCTGCTCTTTGAAATCAAAGTAAATGAGGCCTGAGAGCATTTGCCACCAGCCTCCTCCTAACTTCTTGAAATGTGTGAGCTAATGTGAACTAGCCACCCACACTTGTCAGGCAAACAAACAAAAAAGTCCATTTTCAAAAGCTTATTTCTTTTGCTTTCCCTGATGCTTAATCTAATCCACTGTTAGCATCAACATAGCTATGCTCCTCTGCTGGGGTTTACAGTGTGGAGAGGAAATTGTACAAGATGTGGACTTCCTATCTTTTTTTCTTTTTTTCCTGACTAATTTTTGTGGTTAGCTGATYGACTCACAGAGCCGGTGATGCCTTCAGAGGGCAGCAGCAGCCTCTCTGCCCCCTCCTCTGTCTTGGCAGTACTTTCAAAGACTCAGATCTGTATGAAGTGCAGAGCAAGGGTAGGTTTAGCAGCAGGCACTGCTGTTTGTAGCTTTGCAGATGTGTTCCTACATTGCTAAGKTGGGGTTGCCCTTATTGGGGGAGCCTCAAATGGGATTTTTAGAGTCTTAAGGGAAAACAAATTTGTCCCTGTCCCTTACCCTTCACGCCTGCCCTCCGCTCCCATGGCCATGCCTGGGACAGTGGCAGCCCTCGCCTGTGTATCTCCTGTGTCCACTGGGGTGTTGTGGGGCCTCTGGCTCAGGTTGTTCTGGGTGTTACTGCACAAAATGTGGGTTTGGGGAGGAGGAGGAGAGCAGAACCCATGGGCCAAGCCCTGAWAGTCTTTCTTACAGTGAGGACACCAAAACTGAACACAGGGGATTAAAGATGCGGCTCAAAGGAACTATGAAGAAGTACAAGGCCAGGGGAAAAAGGCTTACCCATGCTTTTACCCATTCTGATCTCAGCGCGGACATGTGAAGCACGCACAGTTCTGGCTCAAAAACCTGGAGACAGTTGRACTGGACTGCAACAATTTTCATTAGAGTTTATGGTGTTCATTTTTCTTTATATAAATATGCAGTGTATTTTAAATCATGTATTTATAGTATACATTACATTTGTATATATTTAATCCAGCATATTAATATTATACTACATTTAATAATTTTAAAACATGTCTTTTACATATATAGTTCTTTAATTTTTTAGTCTCATAAAAATAATTATAACAAACTATTACAACTGGACGAAGAAAACASAGGAACCAGAAATAGGTAGAGGTTAAAATATGGCTCCTTTGCATTCACACCCTGGTTTCCATTGCTGTGGAAAGCAGTGTACAAGGAACCAAGAAATCCACTGTGGCCAATCATTGCTACCTGGGGTGWTTGGTGGTCTGACCTTCCTTTGCCYARCTGTATTGACTTGCCTTTCAGGATCATTGTTTCCACCCATGTAAAGTCAGAATCCCTTCCATTCCCAGAGGACCCAAAAGCACACACTCTGCAGATCACTGAGATGAATTTAAAATATTCGGTCCCTGCATTTTATCTAGAAGGATGAGTACAGGCACATGCCTATATAAAGGACTTTTGCATGAAGAAACTCAGGCTCGGGGAGTTGTTTCTAGGAGGTGAATCACACTGGAGGCACTTGCTTAGGCAAGTCTAAACTCCACACTGTGAAGTTTATCACATCTGGGTGTGATACTGAAACTCGGAAAACTTGTATGTGTCACTTTTCCTTGGCAGTGCCTTCACTCCTTAACACCCTGTTAGCAAAGCCCAAGGTCATACCTGGCTGAAACTATTCCTTTATTAAAGGCAGCAACAGAAACAAAGTTAAATCTTAGAAAGAAACAAGTCCATGCACGCAGGAATACCAGAATGGAAATACAAATGCTAACTCAAGTGTACTTTTGAAGGCCAAACTCCTGGACTTCACGACTTCACCTGACACCTGCTGTGTGAGCACAAAGGGAGAGGAGCAGCTGCTGCTGAAGACAGAAGGGAAAATCCACAAGTTATTAATACTGGCCTGTAGCAGAGGAGTCAGGACTCTGCACATCAGGTGAGAAAAGGAAAGATTTGTATTGTTGCCTTTTGTTTTCTCCAGTGTGCCAGTTATCAGCAGTRCTTCATGGAAAATAGGTTCTGTCTGGAAGGGCTAAGAAAAACTGTCCAAAACTGTGAGGTTTCATTATCACAGAGGATTTARCAAGCCTCCCCTGCTTCCAATCATCTGAAGAGAATGGAGGAGGGCTTGTTAAAAAAACTGTCAGTACCCAGCTGCTAAAACACAGCTCTGTTTATGCCTTGTTCCCTTCACTGTTGAGTGGGATGAGTCCCTGGGACTAAAGCTGCCAGAAAACACARCCTATGAATCCATTGTGCCCCAGGCCAGCACCTGCCACGTCTGGCTGAGTGAAGTCAAACCTGTGGGTACCTCAGTGAGAAACTCTCAGCTGGGATCTTCAGGACCAGGGATAGACCAGGGCTTTTCCCCTGCTTCATCACTGGATGAGTGGCTGGAATAACCATCCCCAGCAGCGTGGCAGGGCAGCCAGCTCYAGGGGGCAAAAAAGAGCTGACTGGAACAAAGAGCAAAAAATAACTAAACTCAGGAACACTCATGGGCTGCATGGCCTCAGGGATCAGTCAGAGCACAAACCAGAAGGAAAAGAARGCTCACTGGTTGAGACTGCACAACAGGAAAATAATTTCCTTATTAGCTGCAGTCTCCTTCCCTCRCACAGCTTCAGGAGTTTTCCTATTCCATCAGAGGAAAAAACCCAGCCAAAAGGAGCCTTTTGGAGCTGCAATGTTGTTGTTTCAGTGGMGCTAACAGGTTCAAAGAACAAGATCACCACAAGACCAGACAGTGAAGCAGGGCCCCAGCATTGTAGCAGAAAGATTATCTTCACAATACTGTAGCTCAGTCTTTATCTTCAACGTACAATGTAAGGTAAATTCTTTCATACGATTTTCTTTTTGAAACAGAGAAAACTCCAGTYTTTTAGAGGGGTTGAGAAGTGGTGGCAACAGTTCCACTTGGGATAAAACATCAGTGAGGAGGGACTCAGGATATGACCACTGTTACAGAATCTTTCTGCTTCCTCACAGATGAGAGAAAATTGAAACAAGAGAGGTCAGGAGAGTTGTGTCTGGGGGTTGGCTTTTTTATTACTSTTGTGAACTGGAAAGGACTGCAGAACTAGCATGAACTCCTCACACATTCTGAGCCCGGACAAGCTTCAAATAACTTAAGCACAYATCTGCCTGTGCGCTCAGAGACGTGTATCTTTATCAAGATACTTAAAACCAATAAAMGACCTGAAAGCCACAGCTCCTGACACTTGGTACTTCAAGGTCACTGAGACAGGCAGGTCCTGCAAGGGTTGGTGATGGCACCACAGTTGAGKCAGTCCAGTGTGGTCAAACTGTCCCTTCCAGAGGGGATGGACAAAGGCTCAGTGGTGGCAAAGGATGAGGGTGAGATGGGTGACAGTGAAGYGTTTCCTTTGGTAATTTTTTGTGGTAGCATAAAAATTTCCTTTTTGAGTGGTATGATAGTGGGTTTTTTGGGTTGGTTTTTTTTTTTTTTTTTTAAACCCAAGATGAGTAACAGGCAGAATTCATCAGCCCTCTTACTCACTTCATCCAGACAGGCCTAGATTCCCTGCTCACCATTTTTGGTCCACTAACTTCCCCTGGTATTTGCTATAAATGTGCACTCCAGCACTGTGTTACCCCAGCACAGTGCAATAAGGAAAGGCACAAGGAGTTTCCCCTTTCCAGGCAAAAGAGCTGGAGTGTTGGGCTTGTGCTTTTTGGGGATGAAGGCAGCAGAGCAACTGTTTTCATACTAGTTAAGGATTTTAGCTAAAACAAAGTACACATTCTTGTGAAGTCACACAAGGAACTGGAATTTGTGCCCTAAAATACTCAGTCAGAATATCCTGGTCCATATCTAGTTTAGCCAATTTTTTCAGAAATGYACAGGTACATGTACATCTGTATTTACATGGGTGTGAACATACTCCTACATTACTTCTCTTCTGCTTCTGCATGTGGACTTTCCCTTCTGGGGAATGAATGCTGGTTTTTCCTGCATAATAAGAAAGATCTTATTACTGCATCTCACTAAAAGATTTTAGTGCACTTAAAATATGGAACATTCAAAATGGATTAACACAACAGATAAGCAATGTCTGAGCAGGTCTTTTTCTCCATTACTCATGGAAGCTATTAGGACCAACCTGGATGAAAGAGAAAGTCATAATTTATTTGAGATTAACTRCACTGTATTACTGCAATACCCCTAACTTTACAGAATACAATCTTAAGGTTTTGAATATCCCTTCCTGCTACTAAAAAAATAGCCAGACTGAGATAACTCAGAGACTGCAATAAAGCCTGCACTTCCAACAGAGGAGCTCTCCCTCCAGTTTCTGATCTGAGTATCCTGCAACAAAGCTTCAGCCCACAGCTGCTTTTGTGACAAATGAACAAGCAGATGTGGCCAGAGAGGTGACAGTGCAGCTTTTTCAGAGTGTTTTAAATTACAGGATGATTAAAATCCTTGATTAATTATCTATTACATGAACTATATATTCTAGTAATGAATAAAACTATTAATACTCTTTATTAATGCCAGAAGTTTTTTATYTTGAAATACATTCTTTGCCTTCTTGGTGCTATGTAATACTAGCCAACTCTGAAACCCACAAAACAGAAATCACCACAGCAGTCTTGTATCAGGTAATTTTTTTGAATATCCCTCCATATGAATAAAGATGCAACATGCAGTGCACAGTTTAATTCRTTTATTTTTAAACATTCTGTCAGAAATATAGTTGTGCATTAATTACAAAATATATTAAACTACCAATACATCCAAGGGAACAGGAGTACTTTCATTCTGCTCAAATGCAAACCAATACAAACCTTGAACACTGACACAGAATAATCTTTTGCATTCATCACCCATGTATCTGGTCTGCTGCCCTCTCTAAATAAGAACAGAAAAGTCATCCTGATTTCAATGCATTAGCAAGCTGAATCCCTTGATAGCAAACATAACCTGCCATATCATGAGACCACTTAAAAACCAACTCTATACATCTCACATTATCTGAGCTCCCACATATACATTACATACCAACATTTTTAGCAAAATAATTTTCCCTGCCCTGCAGGGTAAGACATTCAGAGGCAAAGAGATAACACGTTCATAATATATTATAATTGGAAAATTTGTGCCATAGCAGCTTTGCAAATACAYATACTGAGTGGGTTATTTAAAACGTGCTAAAGACAACAGAAATTTGGAAGATAAAAGAAGCTAAGCCACTTTTAAAACCACATGAAGATCTAGTAATGCTGCAAAGCACTGAGTTACAGAACTAAACCCCATTGCTGAACAGGTTATACAGGACAGGGGTTAAATCTCCATATTCTTTGTATTTGTTTTAGAGACAGCTCTCAATGCTGCAGACCTTTCTCCTTCCATTTAAGTAGTTCTAGCAATTATACCTCAATCCACCAGGGTTAAACAAGTTCTCAAAAGAAGAGATATGGAGAAAGGGGAAAGAGGAAAATGGAACAAGTACATGAATAAATATTTCGTTAGCATTTACAATCTTTTTATGACAGTGAGATTTAACTGATGCTTAGCAAATTAGCTCTGACACTCTCTTATGTAATACTCTGGCCTTACAGTAATTTGACATCACTCAGAGTTCTAGTTGGTAATATAAAAATAGAAAACCAGTGAAACAGCAGCAGTGAATGAAGCATCCACATCACTGTGGCCAATACAGTATTATACATGCAGTAGCCTTCTATTGGTTATTGGCTGTGCTACTGTACAATATTTACCTGAATCATTTAAACCCTGCCACCAAAGGGAGTCGTCTCCTCAGARGCAGAGTACATCAGATTGAGCAGATAAGGCTTAGAGCAGAAATTTCATTCAGAAAGCAAATCTTCAAAACCAAAGAAAGTGTTAATGCATTTAGTGGGTCTTGGGTATAAATGATCTGAACAGAGAATAAGGACATTCTTCTTACTAACACTAGGGTTGAGAAAGAACCTGGAGCAAGAAGCTCTCARATGACAAGTGTTTCTTCTGACTGCCTTCCCCTCCTCCCCTGCTGGCCCCCCCAAAAAGAAGGGGGACAAAAGAGAGTGGCAGTCTTTCAGCATCCTGAAAAAACGTGGTTAGCTAACAGCCTGAATGGAGAACTAGTGTACAGTGCTTTCTGTGTAGAGTGGGTCTCTGCACTGCCATGGACGTTGGTTAAGGATGGCCTAACTACTGAAAATGTTCCAACTGAAAACACTCCAGAACAATTCAGCTGAGAGGATGAGGCTATTCATTATAAAATCTTCAGTTTTAAAGCAGAGATCTTTCCCTGTTTTGAGTAATAAATGCTTGCCTGTGCCCTAATGACAGAAAATACACTGAAGTAACCAGCAACTACATGCATTCACCATTAGCCAGGAAGATCATGTTTCAGGAGTGAYAATACTCCACTGAACACAATTCTTCTTAATCTAATAGGTTCTACTTGGAGAAGAAATTTTACTCATCTGGATATGATGAACAAAGTGGTAGGTTGGGTCCTGGAACTTTCACATCTCACAGAGGCAGGCAGAGTATCCTTCCAAATCACTAAAGCATAGTAGTCTTTCTTTAGTCCTGTATACATTAAGCAATGTGCCCTTTCCCCACTGGTATTGCTGTGATGAGGCCAAACAKTTGGAACACTCTTCAGTATCTCTTAAACTGCAGTGTCTCCAGTCTTTAGGTTGTTTCACTAGCTTGGATCAATAATACACATAAGCTCATGCATTGTTTAATTTTTTCTTCAGTATTAGAACTTGTATACTTGTGTTATGGGGTCCACAGAACTTTTTTCTTCCCTCCTTTTAAATACAAGATTCAGTATCAGCACCATGATAATTTAAAATTTTTAGCACCAGTGAACTTGAACTATTCAGCTTTGACTGGTCAAAACTAACATTTACATGGCACACAATCAGTCAGTACAAGAAACAATAATATGCACAGTAGGAACCTCATGAATCTTTGACACAGTGAATCTAGTGTTTGGTAAATCAGTAACTATGGAAGCCAGATTTTCTTCCTAAAAGCAAACAGGATTACAATTTCTCCTCACATTGCTGAGTTAGGCTTTCCTTACCATCCAAATTGCTGAGTTGGTCCAGCTCCTGCTGTCTAAAGGGACAGGAAAGACCCACAGCAGCTGGATGCTGATCTGGCCAGCTGCTGACAGAGAATTCATAGGGGATGACTTGGGTACATCACCCACAACACTGAGATCTCCTGAGCAGATGCAAAGTTCAGCTTTGGTACAAATTCAGGTTTCAACAACAGTAAAACAAATTCTGCATCACCCTCTTTGGTTAGTACATGCCTTTGCTCATGTGTCCACTCACAACTTGAAACATGTCCAGCACTAGGAGRTCCCACCAGCACAAAGGCATTTCATTCAAATGCTAAACTTTTACATTTCTTGGTGATCGTGGCTGATGTTCTGGGCCTAGTGAACACACTTAGAGAAAGATTTATGAAGAGAATTAGGGAGGCACTTTCAGACAGCAGTACAAATATTTCTTGAGTGAACTTGGCTCACAGTCATTTAGCTTTCTCCACAACACTACCTCACATCTTTTGGAAGTACCATCATCAACTCTGCATCAACTCTACGTCAACATGCAACTTCCTGAAGCTAATTCTCCAAGAGGAAAGGGTCCAAGCATACCTGAACCCTTGGTGACATGAACAAAGTCTAATCTTGACTTCAAACTTCAAGAGACACATAACCAATGCAGAATTATAGATAAGTCAATATAGAAACTCTTTCAACTTTCCCAAGCTCTGTGAAAAAAAACAAATGAAAAAATTTCTAATCTTTATTAATTAYACTACTTCCTTGCAACAGCATCTATTCCAAGGCACTAAGGTGAAAAGAATTAACAGGTCTATTCAATATGATGGACATTTTACCAAACTGAGATGCACAGGTTCTGCAATAGGRTTTTCCTGCAGGCAGTTAAGTTTTCATTAACACTTTATTTATCTAGCTTGCTACAGAAGTAGCTTATTTTAAGAGAGAACTTTACCAAATATTTAAACACATATGACCTCATACAGAAAAAAAATATACCAGCAACAACAAAGTTCCATTCAGCTGAAGATCAACTATGTTGGCAACTATGATCTTTACAGCCTTTGTGGAGAATGAAGCACTTTTGTAATCAGTATGSAAAAAAATTAGGTTCCATTCCTCTGGTTAAGACTTACAGGCTACATGGCTCCATCAGTACTGCGGGCCTGGAAGCCTTCCCTGCGGACACTGTTCAAGTCCAGGCGCGTCAGAACTTCGCAGCGCACCAGGAGCGTGTCATCCTTGATGAAGGTTCTCTGTTTCAAGTTCTGCAGGTGCATGAAAGTCACGTAACCAAACCCTTTTGGATTGCGGTGAATTGTCGGTCTCTGGAAGGCCAGCAACTCTGGCTTGGCTTCCATCACCTCTTCATGGTTCTGCCTTTCTGGGCCTTCTGATTGATCCAAAATAGACARTCGTATGGTGCCTTGGAAAGGCCAGGGCAGGTGGCTGTCATATTCCCCTTGCATAGTGTGGACAAACAGAGAGATAAAATTAGCACAGCGCTGAGCGTTTGGTAACTGGATATGCAGGCGCAGGCACAGCTTGTAGCCAGGCTTCCCCGTGTAGAAGCCAGGGCTGTGCATCACCACGGGTCTCTCTTCTTCCTGGGCTTTCTGCAGTCCACTGAAGTTCTCAATCTTCCAGATATAAATACCATTACATTGCTGGGCCTCCATTTCTGTAATCTTTCCCTCCAAATTTCGGATAGTACGTCTGAGTTCTGCCATGTGAGTGTTCTGAGTCTCCATTTTAGCGATGAGTTCCCTGATTTGATGATCCTGTCTTACCAGACGACCTTCCAACTGCTGAATAGTTTCCTTGAAGTTTTCCACTTCYGGATTGCAGTCATATGCAGCATGTGACACATGTGAGAAGAGGGGAGGCTCAAAGCGTAGGCCATTGAGGAAGGGTACAGGRTTTGCAGCAGTAACACTGATATTCTGAAAACTCTGAGCCATCATTCTCATGTGAACCTGAGTGAACTCCTGCATATGTCGTGCCAGTTCATTCCTCTGCATCTAGGATTTAAGGGATGTGGCATTAGGAACGCATCAAACATTATCTGAAATCACATTTTAAATGTGGCTCTGAAGAAAACCAAACAAGTAGTTCCTTTTGTTATGTGAGAAAAACTGCACTGTGAATCAAGGACAAAGGTGGTGTGACAAGACAGCACTTTACCAGTGGAGACCTCCAGATTTAAGATCACTGCTCAGACAAATTAAAAAAGAAGTTCAAGTACCAGTGGGCAAATCCCAGAATCATTTWTGTGGGAAAAGACCTTTTAGATCTTTGTGTGTCTTTGAATTGATGTTGCTACAACTGGGGCTCAACAAAAGTGTATGTGAGAAGTGGTTTCAGCATAGAATTCCTAACCTGGAAATTTAAGACAGAACTGACATAAATGACTGCAATATAAATCAGATAACATGCATTATTTTTTTTGTTATCTTGAGACTTTGGAATGTCATAAAAATCRGATTCTGACAAGTCATCTTTGCAATTTTATGACAAAACACTGAGAAAATATTCTAATTACAGTATGTATCATTAGTAATAGCATATTGTATTGCTGCATAATTTTATGTTGTTTARTAAGGGATCCTTGACTGTATTTTTACAGATGCTGCAGTATCTTCAAGAAAACAACAAAATTTAAATTCTCTAGAAGAGACTGAGAACAACTTCTTATTAAAGGCCAAGATCTGCACTTCAAATGGAAGCAATTTGGAGCAAAAGACATGAAGTATTTCAGTAGTACATACAATGAGAAATAGGAACAATRTATTTCAAACTGTTCACCTGGAAGTAAAAACAACATATGAAGAAATATGGAGTATTTTGTACTGAAAATGTTCTTGTCAGATATTCCAAAGGCAAGCATTCTGTGTATCTTCMGGGTTATCTTCTTATTAATAAGAATTCATATTAAAAAGATTCAGGTTTTGCACGAGTAACTGTAATAATTTCCCTATAAAAGTACCAATAATTATGGTGCATCCTTGCAATAACACTGTTCAACTCAAAACAAAGACAGGATGAAAGACTGTTAGTGATAAATATACATTTAGAATTTTTTCTATGCTCTAAATCAGCACAGTACTCCATTAGTTTGTTAAAATGCTCCTTAGTACCAAATAGTGTGTGAAAACTGATGTAGAAGTGATAAGGGGGACTCATTTTTAAGAGGTATTAAACATTAGAAATAAGAATATCTAGATTAATAATTTTAGAATTTAATAAATTGATTTACTTCATGGAACTCTTAAGAGTCCTTAAGTGTACTTGGCCACAACATTGGAAGAAATGCTAGATAGCTGAAAAGCAATCATGGATTAGTAAAAGCAAGGTCATTAAGCAAATTGTTCATAATGCTTTATAAATTTGAAAAGGCAATTTTGAAATCAGGTAGCAATGTGTAGTGTTCTGGATTGAAGATACCTCAAAACAAAAGACCCACACTCACAAATCACTGAGGATTTGTGATTGGTGAGTGAGGCAAGAATAGGAAAACATWAAAAAACCTACAGACAAAATCATGCAGCAAGTCTGAAATTCATGGTACAGGTAAAAGGCTTACCTTTTCAGGACACCCAAAGGCACTGTAAAAACACGGCACTGGGGCAGTAGGACAGTCATTGTCATAATGGTTAGGCATCTAAAACAAATCAGATTTGATATTACTTTTTCATCAAGAGTATTCTCCTACAACATCCAAAAATGATACAGCTGAATGGATTCTGCACAGGTACCTGAAGTCCGATCAGTTTATACCTACATGATTTCTGAAGGGAATATGGAAGCTCAATCCTGTTTTTCAGAGTATTTGTGCAATTTGACATATCATTCTTTTTTTAACCCAGGCCATCAACATAGTTGCCATCCCAAATAAAGTAAAATAACATTTACCATTTTTCTGCCAATAAAGTTATTATTGAATAGAAGAAATAATAATAGCAACTGCAGTAGTAATGGACAAGCAGAATTCCAGCCAGCATCTGCTGTTTGATAGTGAAGTTACTTATGGCTACTTTCCAACAGTGGCTTTCCAAGAAGAAATACTCTCCCTCTGTGCCCAAATCAAAGGCTCCTCTTGTAATGTCAGCCATAACCAYTGGCAGTTGGATTCTTTTAAGCTCTGTTCAAGATTAAGGACATGCAGCATGGCCTCTGTCAAGAAGCAGCACAGCTGAACCACGTGATGTGCAGCCAAAATCCTACKGCAACTGCAAGCAGGAGCTGAATTTAAGGGAGTATCACACCTGCACTACACATTCAGAGAAAGGCAGGTAGTGATTTATTAGTTAGTAGACAAATTTATCTCCCAAGTTTAATTTCAGATTAAAGAAGCAATGTAAGTACAAAACATCTGACCCAGAATAAACAGAGAAAAAAGGAGTCTCTTACCTGCTCTCTGATGAGCACCGTGTTGCAATATTCACAAAATACATTGGCAAGTGGGCAGGTTTGGTCATGAAGCTTAGTGATCAAAGAGAAAAAAGAAAGGAAAGAAAGCATCAATAAAGTTACCCAGTTTAAGAGAGGGCTAATTGCCCTTGATCAGACATTAGATTTTTATTTATATTTCAAATTCTGCATTTAGCTGTATGCAACTGWGAAATAAAGACAATCCCTTTACCTTCAACGGTATGTTTTCTAGCACTGTTTTTTTCTGGACTTAAACTAGAAGTTCATGAAATTGTAGRTACTTTATTTCCTAAAGCTCTTGTGCAACAAAGCAGTCTGAATTTAACAAGCAGATTTTAAAATTCATGTTCAACTGGAACTATATGAAAGCTTTTGTTTGTTATTTGTATTGTTGGACTATATGAGGTACTTCTGATTGACAATTAACAATATTAAATTGATGACATTTAATAGTCCTTAGAAAAAGCAYATCCATATAGAGATAAAGAAATGGTAGCAGCAAAAGGGAAGTATTATCCTCAGTATCACCCAAGTGAAAAATGCAGAGCCAGGAGAAGAATTCAGAAATTATCTTGGTCTTCTGTGGTAGCAGATATCCCCAAAGATTCATCTTCTGATACATCKCCCAGGCATAAAAACTGCAAATGTAAATACTGCTCTTTCTATTCTAYTGGCAGTAGATACTGGCCCATCTGATGGTAAGGTCAGAAATCAATGGCCCTTACACAAGTCCACAAGTCTCTTCACACCACAAGGTTCCCAGTAARTTTATATTTAAAGACAATCTCTCCCCAGCTTTTGCCTGTTGTAGGCTCATGTCCTGAATTTGCAGCTTTTCATCTGTGCAGCAGCACAAAGAGTCCTTCTGGACCAACACTTTTGGTTTTGGTTTGGTTTTTTTTTTTAACTGATGTTTCCTTTACAAGCAAACCCATATGAATGCAGGTWGACAAACTGAGATTCCTGCTAAGTACCTCTTTATCTTCATAGGCCATAGATGTGGCACAGTTGGGGCAACACACTTGACGCCTCGGACACTCCTGGGTCATGTGTTCTTTCAGATAGTTCTTCGGGAAGGTTCCTTGGCACTGCAGGCATTCCACAGTGGAAAAATCACACTGCAGCTGATGGTCCTGCAAAAGGGCAGAAGAAGGATTTGATGYTACAATCAAGAACTATAATCTCACCCGTTTTCAGGAGAAAGCACAGTACAAGACAAACAAATCACAGTCTTCCTTTCATGCAAAGAAATCCTTATACACTTATGCTGACTCTACCAGTAGCCTGTTACTGTCCCATTACTAAGGTCAGGGTTTCACRTATTCAGAGCTTAAAGAAAGCTCTTAGTAAAAATTCAGTTTTATATTTATCCTTTTAACTGCATATATTATTTTCCAAAACAATTATTTCAACTAACATATGTAGCTACATATGAGGGAATATTAAACTGACTTTAAGAAACTTGTGTGAAATACAGACATATCTGATCAAAAGAAAAACATGAATAATCCTCAACAGAAAGCTGCATTAGTACAATTGGCATGCACTATGATGTTCACTTGAGAGTCACCTAACTAAAATTAAAGCCTCATCAGAAAATCAATGTGTAGCTTCAGTCTCGAAAGAGAAATGCATTGAATTAGCATGAGTCCAGGTATGACCATCTAGTTAAGTTCTGAATTTTTACCTGTCCATGAAAACAAGGTTCCATATTTTCAAAAATAATTCTCACCTCTAAGTGCCTGAGCTCCATCTTCATACTGCAGCCCTTGTTGGGACACTTAACCGTTAATGAAAGGATTTCCCGTTTGGCAAAGTTGTCAGGAAAAAGTTGATTTTCAAGCAGAATTTCATTGTCTACAGGACATTTGTGACCTGCATCTCTACAATACAGAAAAGCAAGGAAAGATATTCCAATATTATCAACAGATTTCCAAGCCCYTAATTTAAAATATTTTTACATCAGCAAGACATTAGTGGCCAAATAATAACACAGTAAGAATCTTTGAAAACAATGGTATTTTTGTGGCAATGACCAGAAAGTATGAAATGTACTTCAGAGAAACTGAAAACACAACTATTTCACTGGAGGTGGCATGACTAGGGTTCCACTTTTCTAACTAAAATACAGTTTATTTGTACAAATGCCATGTTAGGTACTCTGGAAACAAACTTGAGGAGGATGTAAAGACACTAAGAACTTACGGCTCTGTTTGTGTAAGACTTCACATAGCTTAAACATCAAAGAATACTTCACACACTACTTCAAAACAATGCTTTAAATTATCTTGGACCTCCTCTAATTTCCTTCTCACTTTATTAACAGCCAAGGTGATCACAGCTGAGAAAAAAAAAGCAGAGTTGTCTTTTTTTCCTGATTCACTTCATCTGGTTAGTATTACTTCACACATATCTCTGCTGGTTTCGTTATACACCTATTTGATCAGTTGGTCATCCTTCAATTTRTTTATACAGCAAACAAGGGTGAAAAACTCCAGACACAAAAATTATTAGAAACTATGCAAATTACACTGGATTTGGAACTGGGTATTGTACCATTTTAACAGCCAAAAGACTGGAAGTCAGTGCAAACTGGCAAAGGATTAGAATCTGATGGAACATGGATGCATGCAACCTGCACAGGGGAACTAATAACCTGTTCCAGTTCATCAGGTTCTGTCTACCTGCATTTATATACAAAAAMCATTAGAAATAGAGTAAAAAAGGGGATCACCTCCATCAAATTTTCCACTGTCAGCTCATTCAGAAAGCTGTAGGCCAGCATATTGATTCACAACTAAGTAATGCAGTTAAAGAGGAATAAGGGATCAAAGATCCTGAGATGATGTGCTAATGGAAACAGCAATAAAATGGTAAAATAGATGGGGCGGAAAAATGTCAGAGAGCACTTGTGGTGCAAGGATCAAAGGCCAGATCATTGTCACTGCCTGCAGGCACRAGCGGAAGTAGAACCTAGTGGGCTGTGGAGATCAGGAGGCAGTTTATGTTCTTTGTTGGAAAAGGAAATAATTGCTCAGCAAGTCTATCATCAACGCTGCTAGAGGAAGTGGAGGTAGAGCTCTGACTTCAAAAAGAGGCAATGAACTTCCTTTCATAGGTTTTGCTTGCAGAGCAAGTTTGCCACAYGCCTGAGAGTCACACTCCTAAACAAGTGGAAGAAAGAAAACACCTAGCTTGCCTTGTTTCAGAGCTCTGTGAGCCCCCATCTGTGTGATGATCTTTGTCACAAGCCAGAAATGTTCCCTCACTTCACAACCTAGAGGAAATCAGTTCTCACAAGTGAACTTGGTTACAAACACCCTGTTTAGTGGAGTATGATTGCTTGGCAGGCCTGCTGGTAAGACAGCAGCTTTATTCCTTCAAAGCAAAGCTCATCATGTGTAGGCGCAGCCAAGAACAGATCAATTTGAAATAGTGATTACCAAACCTCCAGTTTAAATAACTACCAGTCAAAGGGCAAAATAAGCATGAATTGCAGTTTWCCAAAGCAGGACAGTGTAGTAAGGAAAGAGCAATAACTCACTGTAGTATATTAAACAGGTTTCAAATACTATTTACAAGGATCAGGATTGTGTTTAAAACACTGCTTAGATCCATCTACAGTCAGAGATGTTGCTGTACGCTTCCTGTGACAGAACTGAGTTTATGCAGCTCAGTTCTAACTTACATTACAATGGAGGCTTTTCTGTGCTAGAATTATTTATCACATTGCATTCTGCCACTCACAACAGTACCTGTGAAAAAACTGCCATCTTCTACCAAGTACAATGAATATTCAATTAATGTATCTTCCCTTGAGTTTAAAATACAGCTATCAAGAGTAAAGCCTAAAAAATTTTGTTTGAAGGAAAAGCCTTCTCCATGATTTTAACAATTGGGTGGTTTAGCGAAGAAGTCAAGAGCTGGCAGAGACTTTAACTACAGCCATGACAGCACCTAAAACATTCCCTGCTGTCCTGMGTCACCCCACAACTCTGCTTTTCCAATAAACAGAGGCTCTGATATTTGGCAAGCTCTGCTACAAACCCTAAGTCAGCTTTGCCCTAAGATACAGGAGAAGACTGGAGTGAAAGTGAATTAGCTACTGCACCTGAAGTTAGTTTTTTTAAAACTTCCAGTAACATATTTTGTTGACAGTAATATTTGTAAACTTATTTGTAGTTACTTAGGTAGATAAGCTTCTCCTCTTCCATGACWTACAGCACTTCAAAGCATTTCAGACACCTTTACAGAAAAAGCTGCCAAGATTTACAGGGAGGGAAACATTTAGTGTGATCAAATCTCATTTAACCATGTCCTTCACACTGGAAGGTCAAAGAGGCCAGTTTTTAATATGTTTTCAAATTTTTTTTTCTAGCTGCAGCCACGGCTTCCTCAACATGAACAAGTACAACTGTTTGTGTAAGTCACAAGAAGCAATTACTCAAAAAATGCTTCTCTATCCTTCATAATTTAAAATCCTTAACCTCTGTGTTCACTTGAGTTAAGACAATGGGGAAATGAGGAATAAACAAAAGCAATTTTTCCTGATCAAATGAAGGCTGTGACAATCACTTAGTGACAAAACCAGCACTTAGAGAATATAAAATATCACTTTCCATTTTYATTTTAGTTCTGTAGAAGCTTCTCAATACATCAATCTGGTAATGCAGACAGTACACACTCCAAATCAATACTGTACTGTAGACAGACATAATCCAAATCAATAGCTTGATCCATGGATACCAATTAAATATGCAGTTCAGCCCTTCAGGGATTCAGTGARGTCTGGCACGTCAAGTTGCTCTCTCTGCTTCCACGAGCATTCGCTCAAACTGTACTCCAACGACAGGTTTCAGTGGGGAAAGAGGGAAAACTTTTCCTATCAATGAAACCTCTGAAATATTACAGTGATGGTCTACAGTCTCGAAGGAAAAAAATGCTTTCCACCTGTGTTTAGTATTCACTGAAACAGTCATCATTATTCATAGAAATGAATAAAAAAAAAAAAAAAGAAGAAAAAGCTTCCAGTCATTGAAACTGTTTGTAGACCTAAAACTTTGAGCAGAGGAAATGCTCTGTTAATTTTTAAAGGAAGAGAAACCCATTTCCCACGCTTGGGGTTTAAGAAGGAAGTTTCTCTGCCTATTCTGAGCTTGGGTTCACCACAGTTTCTCACTCAGTTTGCTGTAAACTCTAACCAATGACTGTAACTGTGCAGCTTACCAGCAGAAGCATAAAGATTAAAAAGCAAGATCATCTTGGCTCCTAAATATCTGAAAGACTGGAAATGAGACACACATTTTTGGTAATTTTTCCCCTCAGTTTTTAACCTGAATTAAATTGGAATTCTGTTGTCTTTGGTGAGCAGACWTTTCTAAAGCTCACTATATTTAAGTACTAATTTACCTTCAGAATTTATAGATATCCTAATCCCATGAGAAGGTTTAAAGATTTATTTTCTTTCTCACAGAAATACCCAAGTTAAAGAAGAGCATAAAACTGCTACTGCCAACAGAGCGAGCTCATAAAAAACAAGTAAGGAATTCTAAAATTGAATGYTCTTTATCAGTACAACTGCCTTGTAATGCTTACAAGCATGCATGAAATTATGTACATTAACCTCTTGAAAGAATTTAGGTTGGAATGTGCAAAGCAAAGGCCAAAAAGTGAAGCCAGCTCCTTGTGCCAAGAGAACTGGGTTACAGTCAAAGCTGATAGTTTCAGGTTTGGGGTTTTTTGCCTTCTTCCACACACCTGGATAACATGAATACCATTGAGTGAAACAGTTGGGTAAAGTCTCATATACTTTGCTCACAGAAATAGGAAGGCAACGAAGAAACTAAGAGACTAAGGGAGCAGGGGATCTCATGGTACAGTTAGTGGAGAACTGGATATCTCTCAGCAGYTTCTGCAGAGTTACTCCTCAGGAATGAACATTGGTGGTGTTCTGCATTTTCTGGATCCTTCTCTCAGAAYGAAGAATTGATGAAACTGGTGTAAGAACTGTCCTGTAAACACACACAAATTTCTGCACTGGCTAACAAGAATTGATATTGTAAACAGGAAATGCAAAACTGTCTATGTCTTCTCATTCTCAGCTCCARCATTTCCTTCCTTGTTCCAAAAGGGATGCAATGAAAAAATACAGCAGCATATGCTACACTAGTAACAGAATCCCAGAATTATTCAGATGGAAAAGATCATTGAATAGAACCTTTGATTGATTACCACCTTGCCAATTAAGAGCATGGCACGAAATGCCATGTGTCCGTGTCCAGTCATTTCTTGAACACCAYCAGGGATGGTGACTCCATCATCCCTCTGGGCAGTCCATTCCAATGCTTAGCAACCCTTTCCATGGAAAAATTCTTCTTGAGAATTTACATAGCTGAAGCTACAGAGAAGCCCAGAAAACACACAAAATACTATCTTCAGAGAATGTCATTGCTGGCATACTGTGGCATACATTCATTTAGTGAGCTACAAATGATGGACAGGAAGAAAAAGAAATGGAACAGAACTATGGACAAATGGTATGAAAAACCAATCAAGGAAGCACTGTCCATTTTGCATGCTAAAAATAAATGCCAGGGGAAAACACATTGAAGACAGTTTAGTGATTATTACACAAAAGTGTGCAAAGTAAGGTTGAAAATGAGCCAATTCTACATACCAGTCACAGAATTAAATATAAAAATTCCTACCAAGGTGACATTTGAGCAAAGTGAGCAATTGCTAAAAAAAATGGGCTTATGCTGAGAAGGACAAATCCTACAGCATAACATCTATCAATATAATCCAATACTCACTGACATGTGTGGGACACTGATGACTTCATTCCAGGTTTACAGGAAGTACTCTCTACAAGGCACTCTCTGCCCAATCTTGCTCTTTAAATTATCCATTTTTATAAGCCATGCCTGCTCTTGCCTTTGTATCTAATTTCCACTCCATCATATGCCACCTGGTTTCCTCTTTCAATGTTTTGTGCTTTGTTCAACACTATACCGTCATCATATTATCTGTTCCAGCTCAACAAGAAAGCAGCTATTTTCAAGTGAAGAAATGAAAGCATGAATTGCCTTATCTGCACCAAGGAATTATGTTGTTTGTAGTTTCCTGTAGTTATCAAGACAGAAAACAGTTTTAATAATCCTGGGCCAGCAATTGTCTTTATTTGGGCAATCTGTCTACCTTTTTTTAAAAAAAAAAATTATTATTTGAAGTTTAATCAACTTTTTAGATTCATTACATGGGTAAATCTGTAAAAATGGCCAAATATCTAAAGCTCATAAAACCTCCAAATTTATGACATTCCAGCCATACACAGTGTTTACTAGAAAGCACCTTTAATGAATAATTAATTTCCATAGTTCTCTTAGCACTCAATGGTAATGCACCTTGRGTGGCTCTATCCGGTTTAGATTGACCTTAAACTGCTCTGGTACACCAACTTCTTAAAAGCAGCTTCCATAAATTCTCCTTTACCTTATTGATTTGACAATGCAGCCTTTGCAGAAACGGTGGCCACACGGTGTCTGCACTGCTTCCCGCAGAGCCATCAAACAGATTGGACACTCATATTTACTTTCCAGTGGCGGATCAAACTCCACGTCGTATCCTTGYGTTTCTTCCGTGAAGGAGCTGGGCGTGTTGCCAGTGCCACTGCCCACACTGGAGCTCTCCTCCTTGGCTCCGGCGCTGCAGGCGCTGGCCATGGCTGCACAGCAGCCGCTCTCCACGTCTCGGGCTCCACAGCTGCTGTCACTGTGCAGCAGGCTCATGGCAGCGGATCCTGCTGCACAGGAGTGCACTGCAACAGGGAAAAAACATGGCTTAATTTAACATGTTCCAGGACCCTCCCTCCCAGGCAAGAATAAAATTTACTTTTGACCAGAAACACTGGAACAGTGTTACAGAGTTGGTTCTACTTAAAAGCAATGGTTTTGTTTTGTCCCCATCATCTTTTTTAACTTCTCTTGTGGTATGTAGGAAAGGACACTGCATCCTGTCAGCACAGTTCAAACATACACACACACACACACACACACACCTTTTTGTAGTCTTTTTCATCTATCTGATTTTTGTAAAAAGAGGAATCCTTTTTGTCCTTCCTATGTCTGCTGAAGATGCTTCTTTACCCCTTCTGTATTATTTATTTCTAAGGCATTCAAATAGATTTTGCATGAAAAAAAAAGCTGTACAGAATCAAGTTTAACTGGAGGRCAACAGCTCAATTCCATATTTTCCTTGCAATTTATCTATGTTATTTAACATTTTCTGTATAGAGCAATTCACAATATAGCTTTCAAATCAACTTAGTGGCAGGAATACAAATAAAATATAAGTCCAAGTACCTAAACCAAGCAGCTGATGTGCTGTAAATGAAATTCAAATATACAACACTGCTGATAACATTTTAGAACTGCCAATAGGACTTTAAATTGAGTAAGAAGCTACACACGAGATAAGGATAATAATTCCACAGCTCAAAAGCTATCTCCAAATTAYTAGCACTCAAACAGTGTCCTTGCTCCCTTTTCCCTCTTCCAGGCTAGCTGGCAGGGAAGACAAGGGACATGCTTGTAAGAACAGAAGATAAAAGTACCTTTCCCCAAAGAGTGGTGGATGGCATACTAAAGCCTGCTTTTACAACACTCCTCTAAAGCAGGGTGAGCTCATAGGTGTGAAACAAAAAAGGGCTGGTATCCCCAAACAGATTCCTAGAGTTTGTACACTGAATGAGAGAACCTTAAAAAAAAGTTCTAAACAAAGACCAAGAAACCTTCCTCTCCCTTGATTTTTTTAATGGTTACAATAATCTTCTTAGACTCCTACTGTGGTTAATATTCTATAAATGACATTTCTTGGAAAAACAGAGATTATTACCATTACACCAGTAATGGTAATACACGAGCAGTCTCAGGGTTACAGAGCCAGGCATTCAAAACATGCCAAATAAGCCCAGATTTGAAAATCTTTTGCACAGTAGTATAGGCAAAAGTCTCTTGCAGTGTTCACCTAATGAATTCACTGTAATACYACCATGTCATTTAAAATACATTAGGAATGGAAATCCAATCAAGCAATGAAGKGTAAGGATTGTTTACTACTGCAGATGCTGGGGGCAGTAGAATGAATAGGATTATATTGACCAGCTCACAAAACTGAAAATATTCTTGCCTATATCAGGATKTGAATATCACAACTCAGTTTTACAAGATGTTCATGGATAGGAGGAGGMCATACAGGTAGTTTTATCTGGGTACTCATTTTATGACACCCGAAGATTACATAAACAGAAATACTAATCAAACAAGGCCTCAACCAGCATTTACTGGAAGTATATTCTGAACACGTGCAACGTCACAGAAATGTGCTTTAGGTCATCTACATGATAAACAACTGGCAATACTTTACGAGCTGTTTTTTCCCAGCTATCCAGACCAAAAAAAAGAGGCAGATTTATCTGAACAAAAACAAGTTACCATATTTTGGTCAGATATAGTTAGAATAATCAAGAGAACTTTCATTCTGTTATGTAAATATTGTGACTTTCCATCTTGTTGGAGTACACAGAGGTAAGAAGTAGCTGAAGAGCCGCATTCTTGACATTTCCAAAATACAATTAAGGAACAGAGCCCTCAAAACACAGCTGAGTTACACTGAATTGGTCAGCAATGCTCACTCTCTGCAGCAGCAACCCTAGAGCAGAGCTGTCTGGAACTGMACCCAAAGAGTGCTGTTCATTTCCACTCCTGTTTCCTACCCCAATGTATTGTCCCTATACATTATCTACCACAACAGGCTTCTTAACTGAGACTCCTAAAAACAACAGCAATACAAACTGAACACCAAAGCACATTCTCAGCAGYTGCTTCAGCCATAGTCCAGACATGACCACTTTAATCCCACAAAGGGAGCAGCTCCCCCAACGACTTCGAATGAAAGCAGTAGAATCAATGCTTAGGATACTCTGTGACAGATTTTTCTTTTCAGACTGCCATCAGTACATCTATTCTCTCTGGAGAAAACACCCAGATCATTTCCACTGTTAAACTAACATGACTTATTTAACAACTGCATCAGAGGATGACCAGTTCACGGGCCACATTTCATGAAAAATCACAGGAACTAAATTGGGCCAATGGAGTGGGAATGTTGGTATGCAGGACATTAGAATCCACAGGCCAACCTAGGACTGAAAAATTCACATTACTCTAAGCCACAGGGGTATACTTAGTGATACTAAGAAAGGGAAGAGGAACATACATCCCTTTAGCAATGTCACAAAAGGAATCCAAGAACTTGCAAGAAGAAATATATATACAGCTTTACTCAAATTCAGCCGTCACATTAATTGCAATGAAATGTGTGATGCTTCTCCTGGGCTGTTCCTATGAAAAAAAAACACTACAGTGTTTAAAATATTGTTCTTAAAAAGAAGAAACCAGGATCTGATTCAGTATAATCTCACTAGCTGAACACTGTAAATTTAAGTGCTGTGCAAGCAGTGTTCTYTCTGCCCATTTAAATTGTTTCTACAGACATAGCAGGTATGTATTTTCAGTTTACAGCAACAAAACTCCTGTAGCAGAGTCAGTTTAATGAATGAGTCACTGCACTCAGTCAACATCCCAGTCTCACACAAAAATCCCCTTATTCAGYGATACACTCTACTCCCACATGGAGCTTTTTATCTGCATATGACCAAGTGGTTCACAAAAAAAGAAGTGCAAGTATCTTTTTAAAATGGGAAATTCAGGCATAAAGAGGCAGCTTAAACATAATGATTAAGAGCCAGATTTAAACTTCGTTCATATTTTATCTAAGATAGGATTCCTCCTACTCTTATCCATTTAATCTTATCTGTGAGCAAAATCGTCCTTCCTGCACACATACTTTAAGTGTGGGGCAAGGCACAGTTTTCCAAATTAAAATCCACACTGCTGTTACTCAGACAATTAACCAAGGCCTTATTACTCCATCATACTTCAAACCAATTTCTCTAGAAGTTGTAACTACTGTACCAGAAATTAGACCTGTTTCTTGYGGCAGTCACTTTACCCTCCAGGAGTAGGAACATAATTTTAATCTTTTTGAACAGAGCAATGCTAGTACAAAACCAGCTACAGGAAAGTGTACTTTGAATGGTAATGACAGGTTTTTYCCCAATGAAGGTAGAACAGACAATTTGTCAGCTTACTGTAGCAGTTTTTTGTCTTCCTCCCCTGGGGAATTAAAAAAAATGCTTAGTATGGAAAAGGATGGATTTTAAAACCCAAACCAGCATATATCCCAAATTTCAAATCAAATTGCTAYGCTTCCTTTTTGATTGAGAAATAAWAAGTACAATCTCCCAAAAATCACATCAGTTTGTCTTCTTATTGACAACAGCTGTTATTCTTTCTCTGTGCTAAACAAAATTGAGTAAAATTCAAGTACAACATCATCCAAATATTAATTTAAAACACCTTGTGCACATTACAGCCTTTAGAACTGTAGTTTTTGAATGTTGGTAATTTAATACATTAAATGCTTTTCTAGACTACTCTATACCTTTTTTGTTTGCAYAATCCAGCTTTCAGATCCAGGAACAACTGAAATTAAAGTGGATCATTACATGGCAATTCTTGCTTTTGCCCGTGTGAAGTTTCTCAGGCAGAGAAAGCCTTAAAGTACRTTTGCTAATGCACCTGAAATGCCCTTTTCTAGAGCTAGGAAGTGCTACCAGACCTGCTGACTCTGGATAAAATGGGCTTTAGYTTGGGCAGAGGTATCCAGGCCTTGGGCCAGCGAAAGTTGATTGTACTCTCCAAGGCAACAGCTGTACTGTTTGCCAACAGAAAGGAAGGTGCTTTCCATGCCAAATGGTAATGGACAGAACTTGTTTGATAATTACCTGTGCTGCAGAAGTCTGGGAATGCCCTAAGGATCAAACTTTCATGCCCCAGAAAAGACAGTTGAGACTTCAGGAGTCCCCATGGTACTCTYGCAACTTTAAACCATAATGAAACCTTTCTTCACTAAGTAACCTGTGCTACATTGACATTTACACTGCTACATCACAAAGTGATTACGGTGATGTGAGATAGCACAGTCAGACCAGAAGAGCAAGCTCCTGCAAGAACAACGTACCTTATGAATAATGTACCTTATGGTCGAAAAAAACCATTTCAAAACAGAATTTAAACTGCCCATATTTTAAATTAATGCATGCAACAAAGCTCAGTATTCTGATTTTTCAAGTCCCATAGTATTATGAAGTTCAGGCAAGACTACTGGTACCAGAAAGTATCTTCATATTATATGTAAAAGCACACTATCATTAAGAGTATTAGGGAGGAAGTAAAAATATTGTAGCATTGTAGCCTATCTACACTGGAATATTAAATGATACTTTCAAGCATTTGGAAAACTGAAGGAACACAGTGCAGGGAAGTATCAGTTGCTATAAGAGACAATTTTCATTATGAATCATGAAGTACTGAATACAATAATTTCCACACGTCATTTCCTAGAAAATTGACACTGACTACCCATATAAATAAGGAAATCTATACAGAGAACTACTCCAAATCCTTTTCCTTACCTAAAGATCACAAATACAATTAATTTGCTTGCAGTCTGACCAGCACACACCTAGCAGGGGAAATGCCTTTAGCACTGCATYGACAGAAAAACTGGCCAAACTTTTTTCTTCATCTGCCTTGTATGTATGTATGGATGGATTTCTGGGTCATGAGACTGACAGACCAGTGGAGTGACTTTGGATAATTTGTTTATGGAGCAATACTTGCAACATGTATTCCCAAGTACATTTATCAATGGTCTACTGATAACTGATAAGCACCACGTGTTTCCACTATGAAGTTTGTAGCTACCATCACTRTGGCCTCATCCAGGCAGAACACATGAAATTATGCAAATGCCTTTTAATTAATACYTATAAAAGAATTTCATTTCAAAGATATCAAATGGCTCGACAAGCCAAAGAAACAGGAGATTTGGGCAGAACTTGTAACTGCAAAAACTAAATTCTGGTTTCTTGTAAAAGTCTGCAAAAGCATGTKGCAAATACTTTGTTGAGATATGAACTTTCCTCTTTCTAACAGCAGTAACTGTTAAGCCTTCCAAGTCTTAGGACAATCACSATATTTACACCACTTTAACATGTGAACCTGAAGACTAGAAAAATAATTTTTGTTAGAGGCAAACACAATCAAACAACATTCAGTGCTTATTAAATTATCAAGAGCTCCCAACTAGAGCAAAGCAGCCCTTGGGGAATTTCTGAAGCTTTCCAGCTGATTCTTCTTTATTTATAAAGAATGTTGTCAAGCTTTAATCATATACATATTTTTTATGYTTGAATGTTACTTAGGAGTCTAGATGGTGGCACACTCACAGTTACACTCATATCTGATCCTACTGAAATATGTCAAAACAAATTTAATTTCAGTGAGCAGTGGAAGTATACTGTATTTAACACCAAAATATTCTATGGATTTTTCCACAACCAAAAAAACAATCCCATGCCAAAACTGCCCCAAACATTGTTSAATTTATTAACTTTTAGGTAAAATTCACTGAGAATTGGAAAATACAAGGAAAGCACTGCTAGTGAGAACAATACCAATTAACTCTTTACTTTGGCAGCTACTCTGGCTTCTTTCTTCCTTTGCAGACTGACAACATATTGAGATATGTACTGTGCCTTTCTATATCCCTCAATAGATCTGCAGCAAATGTAAGGTACTGCCCTAATGGCGAAAGTAAACACCCATAAGACACTTCAAAAAGAGGCAGGGAGAAGTGTGGCTGTGAACAAATGTCATTTCCTCAAGGCAGTCTCCAGGCTACATTTAATYACCATCCACCTCTAGAGGGATGAGGCTTGTATGTGGCATTAGTAAAATGATCTGAGACCCTGGGAAAGCAGTGAATTAAACACACATTCTGAAACAATTAAAACATTTCTCCTTTTCACTCCACTTTTATTTAATTTACTTTTATTTTCTTTCTGACATGCTTTATACCCAGAATCTTTTATGGTCAGTTTTCATAGTCTCGATCTAAATTTTTTTTTTACATGTGCATTCTTGACATAGTAAACCCATGGAAGTTCAARGGGTGAAGAGCAGCATGTTCACCTCAGTTATATTTTCATGCAGAAGTTCTATCACTATAGGTACCTATTGTGTGCCTTGTCTCTCTAAATACAGTTGCAGTTTTTTAAGACAGAAAGTACTGCAGCGTTGCAATACTAAAAAACTTAAAAGGCCACATATGTCTTGACAAGTCCTCATTCAACACAGTCTGACTGAGCTCCATAAATCTTCGCCCACTGGGAAAAGCTGAAGGTAATGTGGAATATGCAGAAGAATTATGMCCAGAATTATACCATGAAAATAATCCAAGTGCTTTTATCAGCACACTTCTGTGGCATTTTTTTCCTTCTTTTGCTAGAATGACAAGTTTTACAAGCCTTTTCATTCTACAGGAAGCCAAGGCAGTTTGCTTGCAAGTCTTTAAAGCTGGTGAATACAGYGCAAAACTCACCCAAAGCTTCAGATCAATACTTTATTAATCACTCACACTGGTATCTAAAACACCACAAAATCCACGTAGCTGAGGGTAGCTCTGCAGAACGTGACAGAGGCAAACATGGGGGAATATTTTCGGCAAGCTTTAACGACTAGGTCTAAGGGATATAATTAGAACATTTTCCTCCCACCTACAGCTGAGATTTCCGTTTAAGTACGAAAAGACTCAGCGCGACCTATCCGAGCAAGATGAAATTGATGGAAATTACTACTGAAGCAATAATTTAATAAATTTACCGTAAATATTAAATACCGCCAATCTCTACTAGAAAATAAGAACTATCGGGTTTAGAAACAGTAACCCATCTTGCAAGTTATCCTTTAACATGTTCCCGAAAAACTTATT